ATATGCATGTGACCATATCGTTCAATGGAAGAAAATTATGAAGATATGCTGAATACTGAGCTACAAGTGGCTTGTGCATTCAAAAAGTTCTGGTTCGAAATTGAATATATCTTCAAAGCTGCTTTTCGGATAGAATCTAGATACTGTGTTAAATCAAGGTTGTTTAAGCCAGTAATACATACATGAAGTGCGACAGTTCATTCATCTTCTCCCTGTTGCAGACCAGGCGATGCAATTGAGATATACTACAGGCCACCTCGCACTCGACTACAGTGCTCCGTTGGACAGCCTTGCCCAGAATATAGATCAATGCAATCACAAGGGCTGCCCAGAAAATCACCACCCCCGTGGATGCCATCCTGTCTGTTATCATGATCATCATTGTATGTACACAGTGCGCTAAGCCGCACATTGTAGTTGTATACTGTTTCCCAAAATTTTCATTCCCCCCCCCCTGCCCGCAACTGTATATTTATTTATTTAGATATATAAGTGATGTCACATCTCTGCCCTCTGGTCACAATAATAAAATAATCAACAGCCAAAGGCCCAAACCCTAAAATCGTCCCATCGATCCCCCTCTCTCGGCCCTCGCCCCTCGGCAGCTCGGCCCCTCCTCAGTCCTCACAGGCTCACACTCCTCAGAAGAATCGGAGCAGACATTTTTTCTTTTTTTTTCTTTTTTTGTATAAAAAATATTTAAACATCAAAAGAACACTTTTAAATAAAAACCAGTGAGTCATCAGTGACAAATTAATTTAGCTTCTTTTAGGGTTTACAATATAATACATATAAACCTTGGTTTGTTTTATTTTAAAATATCGGTGTTTTGGGTCTCCTGATGTCGGTCTTCTCTTCTCAGGGTTTAGGGTTTAAATACCTTGGTTTTGATAAAAATTCTCTGTTTACTTCTTAGCCGGATTATAGCCGCAGACAAATTGGATTGGCTGGATCTTCGGAATGTTCACATTACACAACAACAAACATGATTATTTTAATACATACCAACTGGTGAGAAGCCGAAAAGCATATATTTAGAATATTAGAAGGGGACATGTAAATAAATAAAACAAATAAACAATAAAAGCATGTGTGTACTGTGTATTTATTGCCACATCTATCTTTAGAGTCGAATGTAGATCCATCATCCAGAGGCATTTGCACTTAACTCTACATTGTCGGAGTGCGACTTGTACCACGATTTTTTTGTGTGGCAATCCCTTCCGTGTATGGGAAGATACAACGCCAGTGCTGTGGCCAGTCAGAATCGACACGAGAACAGGTCGTTCATGCATCGATCAATTATAAGATATTAATCACTTAAGAATCGATTATTCCTTTCCATATTTCGACATGTCGGGTAGCAAAATTTTCCGTTCTCAGCCCATGGCGCTTTGCCAGGTTATTATTCCCAGCGAAGGTATGCACTTCTGCCGTAATCCACCCTGCTAGTGGTACGCTTGTCATTTTCTGTGCGATTAGACCCTCTTTCAGATTGAGACCAGTTTAGTATACCCCTCGACACTAATGATTTCTAGATCATTAGAAACCCACACAACACATAAAAATCCCTGGAGTGTTATAATCGCGCAATTTAAAATACATACTTGTCTATAAATGTATGCCCACACAAACCCATGCGTTCAGAACAGCCGATGCCTATATATCCGATATATATATATATATATATCAATGTATGTATGTATGTATGTATGTATGTATATGATGTATGTATGTATGTATGTATAT